CTTCGAAGGTGGCGCAGAAGTTGGAGGACAGCCCCGCCACGTTGGTGGTGACGTAGTTGAGGTACCCCGGTGTAGCCTGGTTGTAATAAGCCACCTGCAAGGTGTAGGAGGGGGTTAGGAGGGGCACACATGGTGGTGGGAGCGTCCCCCCATGGGGTATGCACGGCACGGCCGCAGCATCCCACCTTGCTCATCTCATCCAACTCCGGCCAAATGCAGAAACCGGAGCAGAGCGTCTCCCCTCGCGTGAAGCCGGTGCTGGCGGGGTGGGTGGGCAGCGTCACCGACCGAAAGGCCACCACGTAGGGGTCCCTGGGGAGGAGAGAGCCTGGTGAGCTGGGGCAGCCCACCCGATGGGGAGCAGAGGAGCAGGGGTTGGGAGATGGTTACCCCTTGCTGCAGGGTTTCCGTCGGGACGCCAGGATGACGAAGTCCTGCGGTTTGTTCTCGTGGCTGAGTGTCTGGCTCACCACATGGTAGATCACATCGTCGTCATCCACTTGCTGGACCAGCTCGGCACTCCTGTGAGAAGGGAGGGGACTGCTTAGAGAAACCCTGCTGTGCCCCCCAAGTCTGGGGGCTTACACATTTACAACCCACCATTATACCCAAAATAATTTTGGGGGACCCCAAATAGGTGTTTTCTGCAGCAAAGTGCAACCCAGGTGGAGCTGGGACAGGGACACGTGGTCTTTAGGAGCAATCATGGCTCTGAGACAACACACTTTCTCCCAGGAAAGCCCATAAGGGGGGTGTTCATCATCAAACCTTAACTTTAAGAACGTGTTTTTGGGAAGCCCTGCAGCACTCACACGTAGTGGCTGTCCCACTCGTGCCGGCGCTGCAGGTCAGAAAGCAGAGAGAAGGCTTGGCCGGCAGCGATGTGGACCGACATCTCGATGCGGAAGGAGAGGAACTTGTCCTCCTCCAGCGTGTACATCCGCACCTTGGGGAGCACAGGGTGCCAGCTGGGACACCGAGCCCCCAAGATGCCCATACTTTGGGGGCGAGGAGCAGCTCAGGCGCATGGGGCAGGGTTTTGTACCTTATCCTTTTCCCTGGCGAGTGCCCAGTTGGCTTTGGCCACAAGCGTCTTCAGCGCAGAGACGTTGTTGTAGCTCAGGTAAACCTGGGGCAGGGGTGGCAGGTCAGGGGTAGGAAGGGGGGGCAGGAGGCAGTGACCACCCCAGGGCAGTGCCCTACCTTGTTGCTTTGGTCCCAGGGTACAGAGAGTGGTACCTCGGTCTGTTTGCAGGAGACGACGTATTTTCTGCAGGAAAGGAACGGTTTCTGTCAACACAGACTGCCCCTGCGTCCCAGCACCGAACCCCCTCTCCTCCCTCCTCCATCCCTTCTTCCGTATTTTTCCCGCTCACCGGTCCAGCCGAATTTTTTTCCTAGCGCTGGCTTCTCTGTACCTCCTCTCTCCATCCTAACAAATGTGAAAAGCACATAAGGTTAATAGGAAAAGGAGGGGGGAAAAAATAACCCAGATTTCTTTTGGGGAGTGGGCAAACCCCCCCAAAAAAGCAGCTTATTTTGAAGAAAGTGCTAGTGCAGCGTTTTAAAGCCGGCAGAGGGGAGGTTTTGAGGAGCCTGGCTCCAGCCACAAGATGCTCTCCTGCAGGATGGGAGGAGACTCCTGGTTTTAAGGCATCAAAAATCAGGTGGGTGGGTACAGATCAGCCAAGGGGGAGGCGATGCCATCGCCTGCTCACGCTACGACGTGCCCTGAGACGTGCGGGTGTTTGCTTTGTGGCCGTGCTTGCCTGGCAGATTTTCTCAAATATTTGGATCCGAGCAAATTATGGATTAGGGTGTTTTGAAAGATCAAAACAACCTAAGAGGTTTTCATTCTTTCCTCTAAATTATAGAAAAGATGAGCTCGATCTTGCAGGTGATATTGTGTTAAGCCTTGCATGGCTAATACGTCTCCATTTCTGCAGGGGCAAGTGGTTTATTTTATTATTAGTTATATGGAGCGATCAATTTAATTCACTTGCTATCGAGCAATTTGATTTCCATCATCATAAAACTGCGTTTGTTTTGCCACGAATCTGGGAGCATTTCAAGGATTCCCGCGGGGTCCCACACCCTGCGGTGGGGAGAAGCCAGCCCTGCCTGGCCTTACCCCTGCCTCGGGTGCCACCATGGGCAGGGTGCGGGGACGGCCCTCCTGGTCCAGCACCACGAAGGTCATGAAGGCGCTGTTGACGTGCCTTCGGCTGACAGACATCTCCTGGCCGTAGGCCTCGGCGCAGACCCCCACCTCCATGCTGGGGGGCAGGAGAAGAAGGGCTGAGGGTGTGGAGAGCCACCAGGAGGGTGGGATGGGGATCCCCTCACTGCTGGCACCCACCTGTTTTTGAAGGCGTTGTTGACAATGGCTTTGAGCACCAGGCGATCCCCGACTTGCGATGGGCCCCGAAAGTGGAACATCTCGATGGCTCGCAGCGTGGGGTGGGCATGGCACAGCCGGCTAGGGGGTGGGGGGCAGGCGTCACCCCCTGGCCATAGCACCCTGGCAGCCCCACGCACCCTCCTCGACCCAGCCAGAGCTGAGGAGACCCCAAAAAATTTCACCCCTGGATTTCAACCGCCAAAACCAGCCATGAGAATTGACAGTAAGTAGAGTGTGGTGAGTATGAACCTGTCCCCAGGGTTCTCCAACACCATGCTCCCATGGGGCTCCCTGTGTGGCACCGTCCAAGGGTGATGTGCCAGGGACATCCCCTTTGGAGGGTCACAGAATCCCAGACCGTTAGGGATTGGAAGGGACCTCCAAAGCTCACCCAGTCCAATCCCCCTGCCGGAGCAGGAACACCCAGATGAGGTTACACAGGAAGGCGTCCAGGCGGGTTTTGAATGTCTGCAGAGAAGGAGACTCCACAACCTCTCTGGGCAGCCTGGGCCAGGGCTCTGTCACCCTCACTGAGAAGAAGTTTCTTCTCCAATTGAAGTGGAACCTCCTGTGTTCCAGTTTGTGTCCGTTACCCCTTGTCCTATCATTGTTTGTCACCGAGAAGAGCCTGGCTCCATCCTCGTGACACTCACCCTTTAAATATTTATAACCATGAATGAGGTCTCCCCTCAGTCTCCTCTTCTGCAAACTAAAGAGCCCCAGCTCCCTCAGCCGCTCCTCATAAGGGAGATGCTCCATCTTTGTAGCCCTGTGCTGGACTCTCTCCAGCAGTTCCTGTCCTTCTTGAACTGAGGGGCCCAGAACTGGACACAATATTCCAGATGCGGTCTCACCAGGGCAGAGTAGAGGGGGAGGAGGTCCCTACAACTCTGCTGTGGCCTGACTCTGCCCTGGCTGTTCATCCCCTCTGGGCACGCTGTTCCTCCACCCCAAATCCCTGTTGGGTCACCTGGCTGCAATGGTGGCCACGTTCTCCATCCAGGCCATGATCTGACCCCCAAAGGTGTTGCCCTGGTGGTTGGCGTGCGGGGGCAGCACTAGCTCCACGCTCTCCACCCGCGTATTCTCAGCCGGCACTGTCACGCTGCCATCCCGCGTCTCCAGCTCTGCTGTGGGGCGAGAACAGGGCTCAGTGGGACACCCCACTGCCGGTGTCCCACCAGCCCTCAACCCCTTTCCCCATGGTCACCCTCCCACTGCGTCAACCCCCCGTATCTCCTGGCTTAGGGATCCAGGATGGTGGGGCCAATCCCTTCCTCCATGGCCAGGGCATTCCCAAACCTCCATGGCGATCACCACCAAGGAAGAAGGATGGCCCAGTGAGTGTTGGGGCTGTTTTGGGGCCAGAAGCCCAGGCTGCGGAAACGCGGTACCAGTTTCGGGGGAGCTGCGTGTGAGGAGGTCCTTGAGAGTGTCCTTATGGACCAGGCGCATGCGGCGGCGCTCAGCAGCGATGCTGTGCTCAGTCTTCTCCTCCTCCGTCTGTGGGGCCAGCGGCTTCAGCTTCACCTGTGAAGGGGACAGGGGTAGGGTGCAGTCCTGCTGCAGGAGAAAGCCTACGCCATCTTCGAGCGCCAGGCCACGCTCCTACAGCGCTGTACATCCTGCCACACGTGCTCCTCCTGGGTTATATTACAGCTGCTCCCTCCCCAAAGAGGCCATTTCCTCGCCAACCCCACACCAGAGCCCACTGACGCCCCCAGCTGCCCCTCACCTTGCTGCCCGAGGGGCCCTGTGCCACGAAGGTGGCGTAGGCCTTGCAGATGCTGCAGTGCTTCCCGCTGCACAGGTCCTCGTAGCTCACCTGGATCCCCACCTGGGAGAGGACACGGCGTGTCTGAGAGCCAGCTCCGCTCCCCAGGGACCCACATCCCACCCAGGATGTCTGGATTTGGGTATTTTGCATCTGAGGCAGGGGGGGAGGCACACCAACCTCCATGCTGGAGTTAAAGGCTCGGTTCACTTTGGCTTTGATGTTGACGAGTTGCCCGACGCTGAAAAACACAAAGAGGAGAAAGCGTTCAAGGCGTTACTGGGGACGATGGCCCCGCTGTCACAGCAACTGCCCAGGACAGCGGGCACATGCTGGGATGGACATAGGGACAGCCACCCCCCAGTCGTGGGAGCCCACAGGCGTTCAGCCTGGCAGTAAGATGTCACCCCCAAGCAGCTGCACACAAACAGGTCCCCAGGTCTGGGGCACCTGGGGGGTTTGGAGGTGCCCAAGGCTCATTTGGCACCCCCCCTGCCATGGGGGCATGCATGCTCCTGCCAGAGCAAACGGCTCCTCCTGCCTCGCATGAGCTGTCCTGCACAACGGGAGCACCTTGACTGCCCCCATCCCTCCTCCAGGGCCTCCTAGTGACAGGCACCTTGGGATTTTGGGAGACAGCAGGAGGCAGGATCATTTGCCAGGGGCATTTTGCACTGTCTCTCGCATTAAACATCTGTTGGCAGCAAACTGCTGCTCGCAGAGCCCAGGAGCTCTCCTCTGTGCCTTCAGTAGGCTTCAGAGTAAACACACAAACGGCTTCGTCTCTGCAGCCTTACCTACTCCAGACTGGCACTGACCAAATGAGCAAATGCAGATTTTTGGCAACACTGACAGCAAACAGTCTTTGCCAAATGCATCAGGAATACTCCTCATCCGTTAAAAGAGACCAGTTGCGGAAAACTCAGTGGAAAAATAAACGTTATGGCTGCCGCCACAGGTTTGCAGGGTAGAGGGCTCAAAACCAGAAGCGAGGAAGAGTCAGCACGTGCTTCAGCACCTTAAGTTCCCCTTCGCCCCCACGCACAATTTTTGGCTTCAACCAACCATAATCATCTCGGCCGCTCAACACAGATTGCACATTGGCTCTGGCTGGGGCAGGGGCAGGGGCAGGGGCAGTGTAGGGCTGGGATGGTGCCTCCAGAACAGACACTGACCCCAGTGGCAACTCGGTGCTCCCTGCAGCATGCCAAAATGTTAGCAGGTTTACGTGGGTGGTATCCATGCACCTCCCAGGCAGTGCCTCATCAGTGGGGTTAACACTCCCAAACGTCCATACCAGACACCGCTCCTCCCATCCCACTGTCCAGGAGGGTTTGGATACGGCTGGCTGGGGCAAAAGGAAAAAGCAAGATAGGGGGAGAGGGTTAGAGGCGATGGGAGCAGGCACACGGATGCTCTGGATGCATTTGCAGCGAGGGGCATGAAAGGGCAGGAGTCTGATTGTCTGTATTACAGCCCAAAAATTACTTTATCCCCTTTCTCTGTATCAAACTGCAGGAGCTGGTGCCATAAAAGCCACTCGAATCCATGTGAAATCTTGCTGGGAGGCTGCACTTCCACGTGGCAGAACTGCGAGTTGGAAGCATCCCATGCCCAGCCAGTGAGTTTTGAAGTCAGTGATGCTTCAGGGTCTCCTCTGTGTACCCCAGCACCCCCAGCCCTTCCCTGCCCCAGGGGCTCTGTTCCTTTGCAGTGGCAGAAAGCACAGAGGGCAGGGCAGGGAGAAGAGCAGGCAGAAAACAGCACTCAGAGCTCCCTCTGCCCCCAAACATCAATGGTGCCACCTCCACCGTTGTCACACAGGGCTGCACCACGTCCCCATGCCATGGCTTTGGCACATGGCTGAGCCACAGGGCGATGGGCAACTCGTCCTCGCTGACCCACCAGCACCACGATGTGAGATGGTGGGAGTTCTGCATTTCCTGGGGGTGATGACAAAACCCAGGAGTGAGTCAGGACTTCCTAGCACCAGACAAACCGGGGTGGTAATGGAGGAGAGCACCTTGGGCACATGGGACCTGTGCCTGGTGGGAACGCTCATATTGTCCCCTGCAAGGTGGCAGCCCAGGGGCTGTGTGTGTTCACAGCGAGCAGCACGCAGGAGGTGCCAGGACAAGCCCAGGAGGGGACTTTGCCTGGGAAAAGCTCATCCCAGCAGCACACCAGCCACCCACACAGCCACTATAGAGGGACAAATTGCAAGATTTAAGTTTTCCAGAGCACTAGGGCAGAGCTGTTTCTTGAACAAAGCCAGGGAGGAGCTGAGGCAGAGGGAAATACTGGGAAGCCAAAACAGCAGGAGCTCTTGGAGTGACCAGACAGAGGATAAGTCAGAGCAGGCAGTCTGAGTCAGAGCTTCAATCCCTGGCTGCCTGTGAGCCTGGCACCGCCACCACATCTCCTCCCCTCCCCAACACACCGTTCTCCGTCCCAGCTCCATCCCTGCTGCTCACGTTGCAACCAGCAGATAGGAAAAACCCATGCTGGAGTGCGGAGTATTTACCTGATGGTGTGCTCGAAATAGATATCATCCATGGAGGCCGTGACGCAGGGACAGCCAGCGTGTCTCTCGGCTGGAAAAGAAAAACAAACGGCATCAGCTCCCTGCGGCACCACGCCGGGCGTGCGAGGGGTGCAATGCACCAGGGAAACCCCAGCCAAGCATCCTCTGGCTGCTGCCCATGCCCACCCACCACATTTGCAGGGGATGAGAGCAGAGTTTGGGGTTTCTCCAGCATGGGTTTGGTTTGCAGGTGTTTTTTGGGTTTGGAGGGTGTGTTGTAAGTAGGAGGCAAGCTGCCCGGCTGTTTGCTTTCCCTCGATGCTTTCAGCCACTGCAGGGATGCGCAGACAGCCGATACCATCTCCCTATCCACAGCAAATATTTTAAAGCTGTCTTGCCATTCCGGCTTTCCCTTGGGACTCCAGCAACCTCAGATTGCAAAATTGCCCTGAGAACCACATCAAACTGTGACACCACACTCGTTTTCCCTTCCCTGCGCCCGGTGCGCTTGGCAGGGTGAGCTTTTCATATAGCAAAGGAGCTCAGCCCCATCTGGCAGGGCTCTCTCAGGGTGCCGGGAATGTCACCAGCCAGGAATTTCACACCAGGCAAGGAAAAGGGCAGTGTTTTGGAAGAAGCAGGCATCGCTTGTGATCTGTCTTCTCATCTTGCTCCTGCTTGTTCTCCAATTACTCAGCAAAACGGCATGACGTAGGTGCCCAGCTGGCGCTGGACGGCCGGGCACGCTGCCCATGGGGCTGGCTCCGGTCCCTTCCCTCCCGTCCCGGTGGGACGATGGCTCTGTCGGGAGGGGATAACTCACCGGAGAGGCAGGCGGCCGTGTCGATCCACTTGAGCAGCTGCCCAGTGCTGAGCTCGCCGCGGTGGTTGGTGTGGCAGGGCAGCACCAGCTGGCTCATCTGCACCTCCGTGGGGTTGCGGGGAGGCGAGGGGCTCGCCATGGCCCCTGTCATCTCCTCTTGCTCCCCTGGATCCCGGGCACGCAGCGGAGAGGTCGAACCCTGCGGGAACGAGAGCTTCGTTCACCCAAACGGGAGGAAAATCACCCCGAGAATCTGGTGACCCACGCAGAGCCAGCGGCACCCCCAGCCCTGCACGGCGTCGGGTACCACCAAAACCCACCCAACCTCTTCCAAAGATGTGATACCTGCAGCCAAAATGAAAAGAAATCCCTCTAAAAAGAGCTTTGTGGGTCATCACTGCAGCTTTCCAGGCCATTTATCATCCAACCTGAAAACTGTACAAAACCTCTCCCAAAGTCATTCAGTTCTCTGGGAAGGAATTTCTCTCTCCCTCCCCTCCACCCCGGACAGCTTCATTTTTGGGATGCCGCAGCAAAGGGTGGTTTTGCACTTCCAGGGCTTGCGCCTGGGGCTGGGCACCTTCCACCACCACTCCCTTCGCCAAAGGCAACACCGAAAACAGTTTTTCCTGGCTGGTGCAAGCAGAGGGGAGAGAAGCCATCCTCGTTTTGGGGTTATTTGCATGGTTTAACACAGTCCTTGAGGGCTTCACCGTTTGCTGGGCGCAGAGCTCCCCTGCCTGCCGTCCCAGCGGGGAGCAGGTTGGGAGAAAGGGGTTGGGATCATCGACAAAAATAAAACAAATATCTGATGAGGTGTCAAGCGAGCCGTGTTACACAAGGGGTGAACTCAGTTAGCCCAGTGAGTAATTGAGGAGCCACGAGGAGCCGTCTGGGCTCCCTTACAGCCCTTCCTTCCGCTTTCGGCTCCCACCCTGGCGCCCGTTGGCAGCGCTCGTTGTGAGAGTCCCACTGCAGCAGCGACTTCACCCTTTGCTTTGCCCGGCTTCTTTTAAAGATGGGTTTCTGCTGAAAAAAGCGAAGCTTTTCCCCACTACCCCAGCCTCACTGCCTCTGAGAATAGCATTTTTCTCTAACCTCTGTTTCCATAGCTACTGGTACACCACATCCCAGGAACGGCGAAGGCAGCAAGACGAGTCTACAGCAAAGGACCCCCCCAACCCACACCGAAATGGACCCCCAAACTCCAGAGCCCCTCCAGCGGGCTCTGAACCCCTTTGTGAACCTCCCGGGCTGTTTTTCAGCCTGCCAAGGTGCCTACACGAGCACCACGGAGCTATTTTGGGAAGCTAGTGGGCTCTGGGGCACGAGCCAGCAATGCCAGGAGCCTGGCCAGAGTGCCTGCCATTCATTTTTCCCGGCGCTTGCTGTTTCTAAATTTTAGGGGAAAAAAAAGGGCATCCCGTGGGAACAGCCCTGACCCCACAGGAGCCAGGAAGAGGCCAGGGATGCTGATGAGGAACGCGTGGGGAGAGGATGCTCGCAGGGGTGCAAGCAGCTCCTGGCATGGGCGGGCACTGGCCCGGCATAGGCTTGGTTAGTAGCCACCGGCACAACGAGGAGCCCCGGGGTTAGCCACACGGCACGGGGGGTACCTGGAGGCCATTGCAACAGAAGCTCAAGAGCTCTTCGGGGACTACAATACTCCCCTGGACCATTTTTAAGAGACACCTGGAAAGGAGAAGAGTGGCGCTGGTTACAGAGGGATGGGCAGAGCCGGGGGTGGAGGACACTTGTGGCCATCCCCTAACAGGACAAGGGTGACACAGAGCCACTTCTTGCCCCGACCGCCTGGCACAGCCTGTCCTTGCGCCGCAGCATCCATCAGCGATGCAGCTGGAGCTGAAACAGAGAGGACGGACCCGGGGGCTCACGCCTGCCATTCCTCAGGGGTCAGGTCCAGTGCTCGCCAGCTGTAATGGAAAACCTCTCAGCTATTTTGGGGCGACAGACTGAGCCCAGGGCACAGCGCCGTGAGCCACCCCTCGGCCAGCGATGCTGTGTTAATAGTTTCCACGTTGCTACGTGTGACAAAGGGCCGTGTCTTGAAGCTCTCCCAGCCGGCGCAGTGACACCGCTGCGGTCACGAGACAGCCGGGAGCATATTTTTGGCAGCGGGCAGGACGTGTGGCACATGCGGGTGGTGCCGGGGGCAGCAAATGGGAAGCGCCTCTCACCGGCAACGCCACAGTGCCCTGCGCCGGCCCCTCTGCCCACAGAGCCCTGGCACCCCTCAAGGGCATCGCGCACCCTTGGGTGCCCACGGGAAACCTCAGAAACCCAAATCCTGCGATTTCTTCCCCCCACCATTTCCAAGACAGCCCCAATTTCCCCACTCTGAGGCACAAGGCTGTGCCTGGGGAAGGAGAGCGCCCCAGCCACACGTCCCAGACGCGCTCCAGAGACCCGGCACTGCGCAGCCGGCGGGGATTTATAGAAAAAAAATCGAAACTGAGCGAGCAAGTGTCTGTCCTCATTAAAATCTTCAGCCTCACTCAGCTGTCACATTTTTAAAGCTGTTGACTGCTGCAGCCCTTGGGTCACCATGGCAACAGGATGCAGTACCCAGGCGATGATGCTCTTACTCTGTCACCCCTCGAGTGACCCACTTCTACCCCCCAAAAAAAGTTTGCATTAGAAAAAAAACAAAACAAACCCTTCCAGCCAAATATTTCTCTTGCCTCTTGCCACGCTCACTTCCTGTACTGCCAAAGGCATAAGGAGGCTGCAAAGCAAACCCAGTGAGCAGCGCGGAGGGGGAGACACCCCCATAGCTCCACAAATATTGGGGAGAGGGACCCTGCAGCAACCCCACTGCTGTCCTATACCCTCACAGCACAGTGCCCCACAGAACCAAAGCACCCTCAAGCTCTGGGGATGGTCTCTGCTGCCAAATTGGGTGCTGGGGGAATCTCCACTGCAAAACTCTTTCAGGTTCTGCAGCCCTCCCCTGGGATGCTGCCGGGTAGGGATGCAGGAGAGGGGGTTGTTCCTCCAAATCCTTGAGCCTGCTAGAAATGGGCTGTTTGCTTTTTCCAATCCCAAGCAGCAGACAGGAAGGAAGGATGAGGGTGAAGCTGACGTGGGGGTCCCAGATGCTGGGTTGTGAGGGTCTCAGAGCTGCCCTACTTCCCAAATGCCTAACCCTCATTTTCCCTTGCCTGGCTCCGGTCTCCTACTCCTCAGCGCATCCTTACTCCTCCCCGGGAATATTTAAGGAAAAAATAGGGGATGAGGAGGGGAGGAAAGTGGCGACAAAGAAGTTCTCATGGGGGATTATTGGCGTATAATTGAGCAATATCCATGGTAACAAGCAAATCTGCACGCGTTAAAAAATTAACCTGACCTACTTTGGGAAATTTTGCCATCTCCACAGGGCAGCGAGGGCTCTCCTTCCCCAGAGACCCAGCCCACCACTGCTCTACACAACCAGACTCCCCAGACAGCCTCAGTGCTCCTGGGGACAGGACGGGATGGTTCTGTGCAAGGAGCGATGTCTCCTTCAATGGGAACCCCAATGGTGAGCAGTGGTGGAGATGCCCAGCCCAGTTCAGCTCCATCACCCCACACCCACTGGGTCAGAGCGAGATCCCTGGGACAGGACCCATGGTGCTCTCCTCCTGTGGTTTGATAGCACAAGGCCGAAGTCCCCCCAGGGAGTGTCCCGGAGGACAAAGTCCCCTGGCAGTGCTGACTCCAGCACAGGGAGAGAATAAAGCCATGCATCACCCCGTTACAGCTGAAAACACCACCACAGCCACATTTCTGGAGCGTGGGGGCACTCAACAGCATCGCCCAGCCCAGGCACCTTTGCCCTGCCGCCCACAGCTTCCCCAGGGAGGAGACTGCCATGGCACCAAGACCACCATGGTTGAGACCACCATGGTCAAGCCCACCAAACTGGAGACCACCATAGTGGACACTGCCAGCTGAGACCACGGTGGTGGAGAACACCACGGTGGTGCAGCGGTCTCCACCCTGGTGGTCTTGACAGCGGTGGTTTTGACCATGGTGACCACCGCAGTTGAGACCACCAGGGTGGACACCACCCACCCCTCGTGCCACCCACCCCATGCAGCCACCCACAGCAGCCCCCCACACTGCCACAGCCAGCCCTGGCGCATCCCTCTGCCCTCCCCACAACGCCAACATTCCCAGCAGCCCTGTGCCCACGCTTCCCAAATATCTGCCCCATTGTTTTTAGTTAAAAAAAGGCTGATTCAAGCCAAACGCCCCAGGCACCCTTCCCTGCACACCCAGAAAAGCCGCAGCAGGGGGGTTGATATTGCCGGCTCCTGCTCACCGTCCCAATGGCAGCCAGAGGGTGCCACGTCCTCCTCAGCGAGCACGGCTTGCTCCAAATCACCATGGCAAGAGGGAATCACCCAGGCAATTTGAGGGGATCAAAAGGGGCTTTCACTCCACATCAACCCCCCAACCAGGGCCTCCAAATACCAATGCAAGCCGCT